GGCGGGCAGAAAAAGAGGAGAGAGAATCCCAAGCAGGCTCCGCACTGTCAGCACAAGCCCAATGCAGGGCTTGAACCCATGAACCATGAGCTCATGACCGGAGCCAAAATCAAGAGTGGGATGGATGCTTAACTGACTGAGCCACCCCAGCTCCCCATGCCTATTTTATGTTTAGAACTGGACACTCCTATGTTACTGTTTCCCATTGGGGAAAAATCCGTAATTTGAAAAAGGATCCATGATGAAACTTTAACTGGCTCTAGCGCTCCCCTTTGAGCACTGTGATTCCACATTGGTGGCCTCGCAGATAGAGGCCGCTTGCATGTGCGTCTTCACCAACAGTACTGACCGCTTCCTGGCATCAGACGTGTGTTTCAGGAGCAGCAGGAGCCAAGGCTTACAGTCAAGGCTTTTTAAGTCAAGGCTTAAAATGGTCACAGAGGCTGGGAAGGGCCCAGAGGAGCTAGAGGAGGGAGGCATAGCTGTTCCAGGATTCGTGTTCCTGGGGCATGAGGCAGGTGCCCAGTGGGACAGAGGGCGGCTCTGCACCCTGCAGGGATTTTATGGCAAGGGCAGCAGACTCATGGAGTTTTTCAAGGGAGTATGACGAGGTCAGATTTGTTTTCTGAATGTATTACCCAGTCTCCAAGCCAGTGACCGCACATTAGGCCACGTGACCACGGGGGCCAGTCAGCCATGCTCATGGGAATGGCAGAATGCCAGGACTGGCCTTGAGCTTGTGGGGTTGATGGGAGGGGAGGCAGGAATAGGACTGTGAGGGTTTGGGGGTGCTGTTGACTGAGGTGGCTAATGTTGGAGGAGCCCTAGTTGGGGCAGGAGAATTTCAGATTGGTTTGAGTCCGAGGTGCTTTGTAGACAAGCCTCAGAGAAAGGTCTGGGCTGTCATGTAAGGGAAGCTGGGAGGCCTGTGGCTGTAGTGGCTGCTCCAGGTAGGGTGTGCTCCAGCGCAGGCTCTAGGCGGGGCGGGGGCTGGCTAGGGGAGAGGAGACTGGACTGCTCATTAGAGGGCCTGTAGCTTTTCTTTTCCCTTTGGAGTATTGATGCTGAAAATTTTCCAGAGTTGGGAATGTTAAGACAGAAACACTTCCTTTCTCTTTTAATTTTTTAATGTTTATCTATTTTAGAGAGAGAGAGAGAGAGAGAGAGAGAGAGAGACAGGGTGCGAATGGGGAGGGGCAGAAACAGGGAGACACAGAACTCGAAGCAGGCTCCAAGCTCTGAGCACAGAGTCCCAACGCAGTGCTCAAACCCGTGAACCGTGAGATCATGACCCGAGCCAAGTCGTACGCTCAACCGATTGAGCCATCCAGGCACCCCTAGACAGAAATGTTTTCTATGGTTCTTGACATACGGTGTCAAAATATCTCTTCAGAAAAAGTTTTGGCAACTTATTCTGTCGGTGACAGTATTCGGTTATTTTTCCATGTCCTTGGTGACATTGAGGATCAACATTATCAACAACTTTTGCCAATTTAGTTGCTATAAAATGATGTTTCAATTTACATCTTCAGGTTCAGCTTTTATTGGCACCCACCTCTTCCAGGCTTTTTGTGTGCATTTTCCCTCCTGTAAGTATCACTTCCCTCCTTTGACTGAGGGGCAGATGGCCCAAGGAGGTCACATTGCTGTCCCATATACACCTGCAGCCTCTCTTTCTGTGGGTTTCCGCTTTACCCCAGGCCACTTAAACAGGCTGAATGTTCCTTCGTAGTTACTTTTATTCAGATATAATTCACATGTATAAAATTCACTAAAGTACGTATTTCAGTGGCTTTTAGTATAGTCACTTTGTTGTATAACTACAACTGTCTAATTCCAAAACATTTTCATTACCCTAAAAGGAACCTGCCATACCCACTGGCAGTCATTCCCCTTTCCTCTCTCCTTCCAGGCCCTGGCACCCACCAGTCAGCATTCCGTCCCTGTGGATTTGCCTGTTCCGGACATTGCATATTCACAGAACCACACAGTACGTGTCTGGCATCTTGCACCGAGTGTATCTTGAGGTTATCAGTGTCCTAGCACGTGCCTGTGGGTCATACCTTTTTATGGCTGACTGGAACCCCTTTGAATGGCTTTGCCACACCTTGTTTCTGTATTCACCTGTCAGGGGACACGTGGGTTGCTTCCTCCTTCTGGTGATTGTGACCAGTGAACACTCCTGGACCAGTTTTTGTGCACACATGTTCTCTGTTCTCTCTGGGATGTTGTAATTGTTCCTAGTGACTGTTTTCTTGTGTGAATTCTCTGGGTCACATCCTTCGCTTTCCTTCTTCAGGAACGTGAACAAGAATGTATACTAGAAATTGCAGAACGGATGAGAAGACCGGAGGATGAGGTTGGCACACAGCAACCGGTGGAGATGTGGCAGGTCCAGCTGCAGACCCAGGTGACCCGGGATGCTTGGGCCCCCATCCAGGTGCTCGGGCATGGCTGGTCCCTGCACACGCACCCTGTGTCTTACACTCGTGGGTTTTGGGATCTGGGAGGGTTGCAGGAAGGAGAGGTTTGTCACAAAGTGGACAGATGTGTGTGGCAGCCTCGTTTTGTGTGGGGCCATCGGAAGGACAGGTGGACACGCAAGGATACTCGGGGGCAGTGTGTCTGGCCAGGTGCTGCTCGCCGCACAGCCGGATATTTCCCCATCAGCCATGCTCCCACTCATTAAACTCAGGCAGTGCCACCGCCATGAACAAGGCCATCCTGAAGGCACATCTGACTCCCCTGGTGCCTGCCACCTACAGGGAGCACGGGGTGCTGTGGACATGCTCGTGTGGAGGGAGGGCCATGTGCATCCCTGTTGCTCACTGTGGCCTTGCTGTCCTGCAGGACATCCCTGCCGGTCTCTTGGGAGATGTGTTCTCTTGCCATGATTTCTGTTATTGCTCTCCTTTATTCATTTTCTTTCTATGTGCTTCTGGGTGTCCCTTAAGTGCCTAGTTCTAAGTATGTTTTTCTGTTGTTTGTGTTAATTGGGAATAAAGTATGCTCCCCGGAACCCTGGCCTTCCTCCACTTTCCCCCAAGGCAGTGGAAGGAGAAACAGATTCTGCACATCTTAGCCAGGCACGGAAGTGTGCCCACCTTCCAGAGCAGCGAAGTACAGAGCTCACTCTGTCTCTGGTCTGGACCTGAGGTTCCTGTTGGTGTCGTTAACTTGGCCGCTTCTGGGCACTCTTTGGCCTCACATTTTGCCCTCATTGTCAGTGACTGTCCAGAGCTTCCCACTGTCCATATTCTGGTTGTCATTCCCATGTTTCTGACGAGGGGCTTGCAGTCTCTGGAACGGCTGCTCACCTGTCTCCAGCCAGCAGGACAGGCCTGTGGGCTGGGGAGTCTGCCTGGAAGGAGCTTGGGGGCCACCCTTTGTGGCCTGGGAGCTCAAGGAGGACACCACCGCAGGGCTGTGGTTTAGGTGGAGGGAGAGGACACGTGGGCCGGAGGGGCTTCCGGATAGTATCGGGTGGGTGGTTTTAGGCGGTTGGGGAGCTGCTGGGCGGTGCCAGGGCTGCCTGAGGGCGGCCGGGACAACTGAGGTCCCGTGGGGGGCCGAGCTGGTGTGCCGTCCCTTGAGTGTGAGCTCTCGGGGAGCAGGTGCAAGCAGCACGTGGTGGTGGGGTGCCACTGCGGCGTCCTTGCGGGCGCGCGTGAGCCGTGTACCAGATTCCACCTGTAGCCCAGAAACCCCTCTCTCTCCTGCAGCCGGTGCCCTCCCTGGAGCTGGAGGCGTTGCGCCTGAGTCTCAGCAACATGCACACGGCGCAGCTGGAGCTGACGCAGGCCAACCTCCAGAAGGAGAAGGAGACGGCACTGACGGAGCTGCGGGCCATGCTCAACGGCCGGCACGCCCAGGAGCTGGCCCTGCTGCGGAGCAGACAGCAGCAGGAGCTGGGGCTTGTGCGGGAGCAGCACGCGAGGGAGCAGGAGGCGGCGGCGCTGCGGTATAGCCGCGAGACCGGTACGGGTGGGCAGGTGTGCGGGGGCTTCACCGCCACGCGTCTGCTTCGGGTGGGGGGGGATGTGGGTGACCCCGTAGGAGTGTCTCCCGGGAGTAGTGTTGACGTGCGAAGTGCGGGGCGCGCTGGCCGCCGTCCAACCTCCTGGGTGGGGCCGCGTGCATCCTGCTCTGTGGGGACCCTGTTGTCCCCTCACCTTGCATCCACTTCTCCCGTGGGCTCGTGGCAGGTTTGGAAGCCACGCTGTTGGAGGTGACCTGCTCGTGTGCCGGAAGTGTCCGTGTCCACCTCTCATGGGACTGTGTCTGTGGCTGAGCTTTGTCGACTGACTCGGGGGCTTCTGGACGTGTCCCCCAGGCTGCGCACTCTGTGCCCAGTGGGGCCATGTCGCTCCTGGTGGACAGCTTAGGCACCTTTTCATTTGGTGATTCTCTGGCCTAGTGTGATCTCTTTGTTTATATCTGAGGCATACTTGTATGTTTTAATGTTTCTTTTGTACACTTTTTGTCAATCGCTACTTTTTGTAAACATCAGTTTTATTTGTTTTTCATTTTTTTAAAGATAAAAAACTTTTATTCACGTATATAGATATGCCACTTATATATAAATACCGCTTTATTTCCAATTGGTATATGATAAGAGGACGTTTTTTACAAATTTCAAGTTTTTTTTAAATTCGGTCAGTAGATGTAAATAACTGTTAAGTTTTAGCAGGATATGTAGTTTTAATTGTTTAAATCTGACTATAACACGTTGGTGCTTTTAATAATGATTAAATAAATATAAGCATCAGTTTTTTAACAGCTTGATCATGCTATAATTCACACACCATACAATTCTACCATTCAGGGTGTGCATCTCAGAGTCGCGCACACATCCCCACAATCTAAGGTTACAAATTGATCCCCCAGAAATAAACTCTTGCCCATGAGCAGTCACCCCGTTTCCCTGCTTATCTGCCTATTTGTTGAGTTTTTCATTTGAAAAACGAAAGCGGTGTGCGTGGCCCTGGATGTGTTGAAAGTCTTCCTCTTCTCTGCGCCCCACCCCCCAACCCCCACCTCCAAGAGGGAGCCCGTCTTCTCAGGTTCCAGGGTTACTGTCCTGTTTCCTCATGTGGGTTCAAGCAAACATAAATAAGTAGTTTGATGTCTTCCTGTTTTTGCTCATTTTAAATTTAAGTTTATTTATTTATTTTGAGAGAACGGGCACACATGAGTGGGGGGGGTGCAGAGAGAGAGGGAGAGAGAATCCCAGGCAGGCTCCATGCCAGTGCAGAGCCTGACTCGGGGTTTTAACCCATGAACCATGGGATCATGACCTGAGCTGAAACCAAGAGTCAGACGCTTAACTGCCAGCCCCCAGGCACCCAATTTCCTCATTTTTTAAAAGCACAAAACACGCTTTGGCTTAGGTCTCTTTCTGAGCCATTTACTCTGTGCTCACCTCTGGTAACAAGACCACAGAGGGCCCACACTTGCCCTCTGCTCCGTGAGGCTCTGCCATGGGCTGGGCCCCCGTGACCTTCCGTCAGGGGCAGTGTCTGGCTCTTCGCTTGAGTTCTGGGCTTGCTCAGACCACCCTCACCTTGCTCGTGCACCACTGACTGGCACCGGCTCCACCTTGGCTCGTTCCTGCGTCTCTTTCCAGGGCCCACACGTCCAGGTGTGTGTGCACCTCCCAGTCTATGCCGTGCCATGCCCGCAGGTCCCGCCTTTTCCCTCCCCCGCACCCTCAGCACTGGTACCTCTTTTCTTGTGCTTCTTCCCTCTCGGCTTGGGACCTGCTGGGTCCCAGAAGGTCTTTCCCTGTCTGTCTGCCAGTACCTTGCCTGGAGTCTGGCACGGGGGGAGCCTGAATGACAGGCCTAGGTGTGTGGGGGCCCGGGGTGGGGCAGACAGACCAGAGGGTGAGCCCCTGCGGCCCCAGAGCCAGCTTGTGTCGGGCTGTCAGTCTGGCTGGAAGGCTCTGTCCGGATGTAGGCATGAGTATCATTTGTTAATTAAACCATACATCGAGTTCTTACTCCCCCACAGACATGTACCCTGTTGTCCTGTTAGTGTCGGTGAGCCTTCCTGGGGAGCAGCCCTCTCACCTCCTGAGTGAGCAGACTGGGGGGAACTTCGGTCTGATCTGCTTTTCTGTTTTTCTTGCAGCTGAGCTGAAGGAGAAGTTACAGTCAGAAATGGAGAAAAACGTGCGGATGATCGAGGTAGACGTCGTTAGAAATGTCACTCTGTGTCTGCAGAGTTTCCCTTTTGTCCTCTATCCCGGTGGCTTGCCCCCACCTCACCTCCGGCTCCCCCCAGGAAAGCCCCTCACCTGATTCAGACACAATCCAGTCAGAGCTTTAATTGAATGTGCTGGTTGAGAATGCATTGCTTGTCGAGTTAGAGCCAAAGCATTCTTCTACTTGTACAGTTTGAGTTTGTCGGCACAGCTTATTGGGAGTTTTGTGTGTACTTGTTCTGTAGTATGAAGCTCTTGCACCCCCAAGTCTGGTTCCCAAGTGGCCCCTATGGCCTGGCCTTCGCTCTGCTTTAGGACTGACAGATGTTCCCTGCAGGGAGGCACACTGTGACAACTGAGTCTAACGTGTGTGTGAAGCATGCAGGTTCTGGGTGCTCTGTTGGGGGGGCGGGGTGCAGGCGGAAGAGGGGTGGAGGTGGGGTGCACGGAGTGCAGCGAGGCTGGGCAGCAGTGGGCCCTGAGTGCTGTGCTGACTATACCAGCTTGTCCTGCGGTTGTCCTCCCCGGGGGAAAGAGTTCTGTTTTAGGGTGTCACGGGAGTCTCTCACTGGAGCTTTTGATTCTGATGATGGGGCCTTTTTCAAGGCTACATGTGTAGAAGGGCCTTCGGTGTCGGTGATGGCAGAGGAAGTGGCTGGTGAGGTTGGAGGATGTGAGGGATGTTGGTGACGGTAGGGGACATGTGTGACATGGGGCATGTGGGTGTGTATGTCCTGTCTGTTCTGCTCAGGCTGTTGGTGGAGGCTTGTCCCAGGTTGAAGGTTTGTGCCCCAGTGAGGACTGGACAGTGAGGACTCATTTCTTAGGGCATTTGGGACAGAGCCAGCCCCCAGAAGAGGTCAGGTGATGTAGCACCCTGGGTCTTTCGTGGGGGACAGTGCGTGAATCGCCGAGTGTAACCTCCGCCCCTGCTTTGTTTCTAGGCAGGCGATCCTTGCTGTCTCTGTGCCTGTCCCTTTAAGGGGGGACCATCCAGGTTCCTGTGCTGATAGTTCTATCTGGGCGCGGCGACTGCCCACACCTGGTTTTCGAATGTAATTTGAATTTTTTGCCACAGATCATCAACTGTTGGCCCATAGTCATCTTCTTTCCTTATTTGGGTTAGACCCTGAAGCAAGACTGGGAATCCGAGAGAGGTTTATGCCTGGAAAACCTACGCAGAGAATTGTCTGCAAAGCATCGATTGGAGTTGGAGAATTTACAAGACCAGTTTAAGAAAGAATTGGCAGAACAGAAAGCTGAATTGGAGAAGATTTTTCAAGCCAAAAATCAGGCTGAAAGTGAGTTTCTAATTAAAACGAGCAAGTTTGAAGAGGGGACTGAATGCTCCCATGGAATGTAGAACAGAAGTCACGCGCTGTGACAGCCTTGAACAGGGCAGAGCGCCCTGCCTGCTGGCGCCAGAGTCACCCGCGGTGGTGGTGACAGGCGTGACAGGTGTGGGCCAGCTGGGCTGCTTGGGCTCAGCCTTGGAGGCTCTCTTCGTTGACCACAGACTTCTCCAGCTCCCTAACCTCTCCTGAAAACTTTATTTCAGAGATGTTTGTCCTTGTTCCATTGCTAAATTGCCCTAAGAAAACTAATACTGTGATTGTTTACCTTTTATCCCGGTCACCTGGTGCTGCTGCTGGAGAGGAGCTGGTGCCTGCCTGGGCTGCCACGCACCCCCCTGATGCTCCCTGACCCTCCCTCATCCTCGGTGACCCTCCCTGGCCCTCCCTCATCCTCTCTGACCCTCCTTCATCCTCCCTGACCCTCCCTCATCCTCCCTGACCTCCTCTGTCCCTCACATCCTCTCTCGGCCCTCCACTCTCATCCTCCTGACCCTCTGACCCTCCTTCATCCTCCTGGCCTCCTCATCTCTGACCCTCCCACCTCATGCCTCTGACCCCCTCCTCATCTCCCTGACCCCTCCCTGACCCTCCTTCATCCTCCCTGACCCTCCTCATCCTCTCCCCAACCTCCCTCTTCCTCCTTGACCCTCCTGACCCTCCCTCTCATCTCCCTGGCCCTCCTCTCGCTCTGACCACTCCCTCTCATCCTCTCTGACCCTCCCTCATCCTCTCTGACCCTCCTTCATCCTCCCTGGCCCTCCTGCACCCCTGCGGACAGTGGGGTCTGGAGGGACGGAGGGCTGGGGTGGCTGTGCTCCTGTGCTGTTGAGAACGCCACACCCTGAGTGCGGTGTCCTCTCCCCAGTTGCGCTGAGGACTCTGGAGGCTCAGCATGACACAGACATGAGGAAGCTGCGCGAAGACCTGCAGTCTGAGCGCTGCCGTCACTTAGAGGACCTGGAGCTGAGACTCCGTGACCAGGAGATGGAAAAGCAGCGGGAGGTGGGCAGGGGCGCCCTTGTTTCTACTACTTAGCAAGGGAGGGGGTTTTAGGAGATTTTGGGTGGGCTTGTTTCCGTTTCTGTCATTTGCTAAAACTTAAGTACTGAATGTAAAGAGATGCGCAGTACTTAGCAGATACAAAAGTAATGGTAACGGTTTGTGAGGCTGATTTGACGGTTTTGCCCAGTGTCACGCACGTAGAATCCATGCTCTGTACCAGGGGCTCTGGGGCCCCCACTCCAGGCACTAGGGGTCTCAGGCCACATTCTCCGACCATAACTCTAGATAGACAAGGAAGTCCTTAGAAGACTTAACGAGGAACTTCTCTGCTGCTTCTGTATTCAGAGCTCTTTCCCTGTGGAACACCACATACCCACGGTGGGAGGCGTGGCCAGATCCTCCTCAGGTACCCGAGGGCTTCTGTCCAAGAAGTCAGGAGGTGGAGTCTGTTTCTGCCTGTGCCTGTGTTTCAGATGAGAAGAGGAAGTTGTGAGAATGGCTTTCACACCTGCCCCAGCAGCCTTTCCCCATCACCTCCCTGCTGATTATTCTCCTTTGCTGAAGGGTGCCTTCTGTCCTGTCCCCACATGAGAAACAGCTGGCGGGGCCTCAGGGCCACCGCAGGCCGGCGCTTCCATGTCCCATGTCCCTCAGCCCTGCAGTCGTGCTCCCCACTTGGTCCCCACTTCGGCCTGACCACGAACCCCTTACGGAGATGGTAGTTGCTGCTCTCAGCTCTGTGGATGCAGGGTGGGCTGGCTCCGTTCACCCCTGCAGAGACCCTTTCTGGGAAGGTTGACTGAAAAACGCAGAGAAATTCCCAACATACCGCAGGAGGGCTGAGGGAGGGCCCCTGGGGCGGACAACAGGGGTCCCTGGGAGGCCGGCAGTGCTGGCTGATGCTGACTGGCGGTCTCCCCTGACAAGTTAGAGGATGTGTGTTTGGGACGACAGAGAAAGTTCCCGTCCTAGCAAGACTATAGTCAGGTACAGGCGTGTTCTAAAATGAGCTGTAGTTTTTCTCTGGTGCCACTGTCGCCGGTTTTCGCTTGGCTGTAGCTTTAGGAGTTCACCTTGTTGCCCCCGGTGCTGGGCACAGACCTCCTGGGGATTGGCATTGGACGGTGCCTCACACTGTCGCTTCCTTTTCCAGGTAGAGAGCCTCCGAGCATCCTACGAAGAGCTGAAGGCTCAGTCACAAGAGGAAATTCGGCGCCTGTGGTCCCAGCTGGAGTCCGTGAGGCCCGACAGACAGGACCTGACTGGTGAGGACTTTCATGTTGGAAGCTGAGATCCTCAGACATTACAGCTATGTGTTTTTAGTTGTTCAAGCTCCAAACTGGGACCTAATAATAGCGAGCGCAAAAGGAACAATCTTGTAAACTTCCTTGAAGATTGATCTGTGTGGTTTTAAGGTGAAAACTTGAGGGGCTTGGTTTCATCCTTAAACAAGTTGAGTAGCGGCTACGGAACCATGTGTCTTTCCTCACGTTAACGTGAGGCACCTCTCAGGTGTAAGATAAAGCTTATGGTGGGGCTGGTGTTTGCCTGTTATCCATGTTTGGGTGCCGAAGAAATGCCGTTGTCGGCGGGCCCTTGGGGGTACAGGTGTGCCTTGCTGCGCACCGCCTCAACCCTGGGAGCTCGCTTGGGGCAACTGCTGTCAGGCTTCTGTGGCCCTGAGGGTGACGCCCCGGTCTGAGGGCCTAGCAGACCCACTGTGAGACCTGCTGTAAGAGGAGTCCCTGCTGGCTGGCGTTACCTTCGGCAGGGGGAGGTCTGGACACACGGGCGTTTCTGCTGGTCTCTAGACAAAGCCTTTTCAGTCCGGCGGTCACCCTTGCAGGGTTGTAAGGAAGGCCCAGAAACGTGTGCGGTGGATGAGGCCTTGCTGGCACCCCGCAGCCCCCTGCCTTCTGCTGTCCGCCAGCACCTTGTCTTTCCCACCGTCCTGTTTGTCGATGGTGGCGGCAGGTGGGGCTCACAGCTCTCCTGCAGGTAGACTGCGGGTGTGAGTTCCTGCACGGTTCAGCTCTCACGTGATCTGTGGGGGAGCCTCGCCCTGGCCTCCAAGGGTCCTTATGGGGATGTTTGCTTTGAAACTTCTGGGTAGTGATCGGTTTATGTCCACATTACTTCAAGGCTAATTAATCATTACTTGTTAACCAGCCACCTGACAGTATTCTCTTGCTGAAAATAGTGGTGGTGGTAAGTTCTCTTGAGGTCAGTGTGTGTCACTGTACTGTTGCTCTTAATAGATTCTGGCAGACTTAGTGGCTTAAAGCCACACACGTTTATTAGCTGGCAGATGTTCTGTAGATTGGAAGTCTGAGATGGTGTGGCTGGGTTTTCTGCCCAGGATCACCTGTAGCCGGAATCAAGGTGTTGGCTGGGCCTTGACCTGGCTCACTGAGGCTGGCAGAATTGAGTCCCTGCGGTTGTAGGGCTGAGGCCTTGTTTCCTTGCTGGCTGTTGGCTGGAGCTCTCAGCTCCTCGAGGCTGCCCACAGTGCGGCCCCTTCACACTCAGAGACCCCAGCAGCACACGGAGTGCCTCTCTCGCACTTCCAGTCTGTCTGAGGCCTTCAGCACCAGCCTTAGAAAGCACTTTGCTTTGGGGGGGGGGGGGATGGGATCCTTCCTGCATGAGGCACCCCCCCCAGCGTAAGCCATGGAGGGTTCCTGCTTCACCTTCATGGTGCCAGGACCAGGGCCCTTTCTGGAGTTGAGGGTCTGCAGTGTCTCCTGACGTTTCCTTCATGTTTGATCTGAAGGTGATCTCATCATTCCTTCCCATTAAAGAGTTACCCGACCAGCTCCTGGCCCACGCGCCTCACGTGGAAGGACTGGGGCACCTAAAGCAAGACTTCCAGCAGCAGCAGCAGCAGCAGCGAGAGAAAACCGAGCACGAGTCTGAGCTGGAGCAGTTGAGGATTTATTTTGAGCAGAAATTAAAGGATGCTGAGAAGAGTTACCAAGAAGACCTGATTCTGTTACAGCAGCGGCTGCAGGAGGTGAATGAAGAGTCTTTTCTGGAATCTGTGGACATCAGGTAAATAAGTGATTTTCATCCTAAAGGTGTTTTTTGTTTGTTTTGTTTTTTAAAAGCTTTTTAAAAAAAAATGTTTAGAGAGCGAGAGCAAGCATGCATGCACACACGCGAGCAGGGGAGGGGCAGAAGGAGAAAGAATCCCAAGCAGGCTCTGTGCCATCAGTGCAGAGCCCTACGTGGGGCTAGATCCCAGGAGCCATGACATCATGACCTGAGCTGAAATCAAGAGTTGGACGCTTAACTGACTAAGCCACCCAGACGACACTTAAAGGTGTTTTTGAAACATGGGAACCTTGAGCTGAATTGAAATCTAGTTTTATTTGTGATTTTAGGTCAGTGGAGACTTGTATTTTAGAAACACATTTATGTTTGGGCCTCAGAACAGGGGAGCATTAAGGCTAGGAGCAGAGCGTGTGGCCTGAGCACCCCGGGTCCCTTCTGCTCCAACACTTGGCTCCCGTCATATGGTTGTGCAGTCACGCAGAAATGCCTCACTCGGCCATGGGCTCCTGTCGTTGATGGGAAGTAGGGGAAGTCGGCTCCTGGTGAGGGAGCAGTGAGGGAGGGAGCAGAGCTCCGGAGGAGAAAGGGCACATGCGGCAATTTCAAAACACCTTTTCTCTCATTCATCCAGTGCGTTTTTAGAAGAGAGGTCTGAAAAACGAAGGAGAGAGCACGTTGATGGACCCAGCCTTCAATCTGAGGTGATCTCTGTTCTTTCCTTAATTGAGGGGAAGTGGACACGTAACATTAGTTTTAGGTGCACAAGGTAGAGAGTTGACATTTGTGTGATTGAAAGTGATCACCGCAGTGAGCCCACTTAACATCTGTCAGCACACAGGCCTGCAAAGTCTCTTTCTCTTGTGATGAGAACTTTTAAGATCACTCTTAGCAGTTTTCAAATGCACAATATCGCATTTGTAACTGTAGTCCCCAAGCTGTGCGTGACCTCCCCAGGACTTGTTCATTTTGTAACTGGAAGTTCGTACATTCTGATCTTTCACCCATCTCCCCACTCCCAGCCCTGGCTACCATCAGTCTGTTCTCTGTGTCTGTGAGCTCCGTTTTAAGTGATATTTGTCCTTCTCTGACTGACTTATTTTGCTTAGCATTAGACCCTCAAGGTCCATCCATGTTGTCACAAATGGCAAGATCTCCTTTCTTATGGCCGACCAGTGTTCGTTGTGTGTATATATACACACGGTGTCTTCTGTATCCATTCATCAGTCCGTGGACACTTGAATTGTGAGCACTTGAGATGTGGCCAGTGTGGCCTTCCTGTCACCTGAGGTTTCTTTTTATTTGATGGTGATGCCTTGAGGTGTCGGTAGTCTGGGTCTTGTGGCTGTTACCCTGGGCAGATGGCACACCGTCACAGAGCACGGTGGCCTTGTGCAGGTGCACTCTGCCCCAGTGAGCAGTGGCTTTAGTGTGAGCGTCTGTTGTTCTCATTCAGGGTGTGTCTTGCTCACCTCAGGCAGCTGGAACAAATACCGTCGACCAGGTGGTCACACAGCGGAAATGGATCATCTTAGTCTGGAGGCTGGAAGTTGGAGGTCAGGGCTGGTTTCTTCTGAGGCCTGTCTTCTTGGCTTGCAGGCAGCAGCCTCTTCACGTGCTTTCTCTGTGCACACGCGCCCCTGTGTCTCTGTTTCCAAGCAGTCCCCTTCTGAGGTGCTGGGCCTATTGTAACGGGATGCTCCTAGTCTCCCATTGCTCGTGTTCTTTTCTAGAACTCTGTGTCCGTGTGATGATTTCCTGGGACGGGAGCGCCGTGTCCTGGGGGCTCCCTCCCACTTCCTCGCGTGTCCTGCGGGGTGTGGTGTGGCTGCTGCAGCAGACCCCTCGTGCCCAGCACAACAGCACCTCCTGGCCGGATGCGGCCCGTTGTCCTTGTCCACTGCGCTGTCCCACCCTCTGGGCCCCCTGTGCACTTCCATCATGGGACTAGTTGGGTGGTCCATGCTGAGTGGGGGGCAGCTGTGTGTCTGTAGTACCTGTGCCCTCAGTGGAGACTCGAGGGAACATGAGGACAACCCCTGAGAACTTGTTTCCTTCTGCTGTGTGATTGGTTGCTGTGACATCTGGAACGTTCTCCGTCCTCTGGCCCCAGCGCTGTGGAGAACTGCCCGACCTGCTGATTCTCCCTTTGTGTGCTGCCCGTGCCTCCAGCAGCTCCGGGGTCCCCTATATGTTCCCTGGAGTTCTGAGACGGTAGTTCCTGCATGTCCCCCCACTTCGTGCTGGGAATGGGGAGGGCTCTGTGTCCGAGACCTGTCCCCTGCACTCTGGGAAGTCTGCTGCTGTTCTGTTCGTCACCACTAGTGTCCTGTGCTCTCTAGGCAGCTCCTGTGGATGAAGCCACCGGTTTTCTTATATTTGTTAAATTTTTCCGTTAAATTTCCTATTGGCATTGCATTTTTAATTTCTGGGGTTTCTGCTTCCTTTCTCTGTTGTGTCCGTGCCATGGGGCCAGAGTCTCTCTCACCTGTCTGAAGACCATTGGCATTAAAGGGTTTCTTGTGTCTCCCGTTTGTCCCTGCTTTGTCTCCATCCATCTGGGTTTCTATGAGGACCTAGGTTTCTCCTGTGTTGGTTCGGGACTCATAGCCGTGTCTTCATGGGAAGCGTGGGGCATCGTTGGTCTCGAGGAGCTCTGACTGGCGGCACAGCTGCTCCTGGGGTCCTGCCTTAGGTGGCCAGGTCCCTTGTCCCTAGGCCCTGCCTCCTGGCCCGTGTGTGCACCCTGGGGCGTGCAGCCCCTTTGCCTCCTGGGCCCTAGACTTGCCGCGGGCACTGATTTCTGTCTTTCAAGGTCGGTCAGCTTTGGTTCATTATCTCTTCCTGTTTCTTCTCCTCGTAGGCTTATAAGTTAAACTTTTCCTGTCATAGTGGCCATGTTGCAGGAAGGAGAGAAGATAAGAATGATGGGATGTATGTGTGTGTGTGTGAGTGTGTGTGTGCACGCTCGCTTGTTTGTGTGTTTAAAATTTCGACAGGCCACTCCTCAGGGCACCTGGCTGAACTCACGTCAAGCGTGTGGGAGCCCCACTTCCCTCCTGCTGCCCCTGGGCCTTGCCAGAGTGTGTTCCTCACTTACTGACAGCTGGTGTCTTTGTTTAGTTTGCGTTTCTTTGGTTTTTAATAAGGTTGAGCTGACCATTCTCTCTCTCTGATGCTCAGTTCACACCTTTGCCCTCGAGGCATTTGTCCCCTCCCCTGTGGTTTGGAGTCCCCGCCTGCTTCCCTCTCGCACTGGGGCTCATGGGCCTGGGTCTGCACTTGTGCGTCCTCCTCGGCCTCTGGCTCTTCGTCCCAGTTCCCAGAGTGTCGCACTATTTCCGTGCACCACCTTCTGATTCTTTTAAAGCCTTTTTAGTTTTAGTTTTATCCACCTGGTATTTAGCTGTTGTCCAGCAGGAGGAATAGGCTCTGGGTTTGTTTCCTTTTTCCAAATGGCTAGTCACTCCTTCAGGCCAGACTTGTTAAAACACAACCTTTTGTGTGCCTACAGTTGTCCCAGGGACACAAGTCTGTTTCTGGACTGGATTCTTGCTGTCAGTCAGTGGTTCATTCCTATAACAATGTAGGAATTTAAGTCTTGGTTTTAAAGATAACTTGAGTTTACTGTGAACTTGAAGTGTAGATTGATGTGACTCCCCTGTGATATCTTAGGAAGATGGATTTACTATTTTTAGGGGAACAGGAAACAACAGTACCTGCACTGAGCCCTTCTTTCCTCCCTTCTAGAGGATGCTTGGGTTGGGCCTCTTGTCAGGGGTGCTCACAGCAGCGACCAGAGACCCTTCCCTTGGGGCAGGTCCATGTCCCAAGCAGGCAGCATGTGTCTGGCTTCAGAAGGGGACATGGGGGAGACACGGACTGGGAGGGAAGAGGCGCGGGAGTAAATAGGCTGGGGAAATCCCGGAGCCCCCACAGAGGAACAGGGTGCCTTTGGTAAAGGCTGAGGCCCTGGCTTTGGGAGGGGGTCTGGTCATCAGGGTCTGTCTGCAGCTCCAGAAAAGTTCTGGTCAGGCTCCCAGGAATGGCCTCCTTGGCGTCCCTGCAGCTGGGGCTCTGCATTGGCTTCGGTGAGCACAGCCCGGGAGGGAGGAGGGCTCGCCAGTCAGTGGTACGTGCCCGTGTCCTCAGGTCCCATCTCCCTGAGTCACCTGGCCCCCCTGGAGGTGAGATGCTAGGGATGGGGGGGGGATGGTGTGAACATGCACATCCCAGCGAGTTCCCTGGGAGGCAGTGATTAGGTGACGAGCAGAGAGGTCCCTTGTAACATTTCCTTTGTGATATTTTTTTTTCCTGATTCGCACACACAGTTAGAAGCAGCCCACTGGCGCCAACTAGCAGCATTGAAGTCTTCCCTGGAAGGCCAGCAGGAGGTGGACCTCGCAGGGCCGCAGGTGATGGAAGGGGAGCAGCACACAGGGTTCTCAGAAGGCCCTGATGAAGGTGCGTGTACTTCCCTGCTGCCTGTGCCGGCGGCTGTCTGGCCCACAGGGAACGGTCTGGGGGAAGGTTGTGGGTTCTCTGGACACGCCCACCCTGTACTCTGCAGGTCCTCCCTGGTAGTGTCCTCAGAGTTAAGGGGCCTGGCTTGGGGCGTGTCAGGAGAGGACCTGACTGGGTGCAGCACGAGGGGTCACAGCAGACAGGGGCACACAGGAGGTGGTAGACGGAGAAGCTGTGATCCTCCCAGTGGTTGCCGCAGATGGGGACGGTTAGTGGCCTGGCTGCTTAGGGGAGCAGTGTAAGGCCAGCCCTGGACACGGGTTCCAGGAGGTGCGGGCAGCGCAGCCACTCGCTGCTGTAGCTGGGCCAGCCCTGCGGGTGGGCGCTGTCGCCACCCCTTGTCTCCCTGAGGAGGCGAGACAGAGGGTCCCATGCGAGGGTATGGGGGTCAGGTCCCTGTTGGGGTGCTCTGACGTGACCACCTGTTTTAGCCAAGGGCTCCCTTGGAGCTGGTGAGGCAGGCTGCGAGGAGGAGCATGGTCCCCGGGAGCAAGGGTTATGCTGTGCTTGGCGTCTGCCCCTCACTCTTCTCCTTCCTGTGTGAGACGTCCTTCACGGCCACCACACAGTGCCTTACGGTCACTGGGCAGTGATGGGCACACACGGAGTGCCTGTGTCCGCTGTTCAGATCATCGTTGAACCCGGGAAGGTGACAAGTCCCAACCTGAACAGCCCAGAAAGGGCCTGGTCTACCAATGGCCCAGAATTACACGTCCCCCCGCCACTGTGGGGTAACAGTCACCTGATAACCAACTAAAGGGATGGAGTGGGTGTTGAGTGGGTGTGGGTGGCTCAGGACAGGGTGGCAGCTGCAGGCTCGTTTTCTGGGGCTGGGGGCACAGGGGTGCTGTGCTGTGACAGCCCATGAGCTCCCGACCGGGCTCACCCGGGGGTGGCCACAGTCTGAGTGTCCGTGTTGTCTGAAGTGTTGGAAGATGAGTGTTCTTCTTGTTTGCTGCGTGTGATGTCCTCGAGGGTCGTGCCTGACTGTCCTCCCTGCCTTCCCGTCCCTCACAGAACTTGCTCGAGTGCCTCTCCTGTGTGCGCAGGACACAGCCTCGGAGGTAGAGACAGAGGTGGCAGCCAGAGTCTTGAGTTTAGAAGCTGAGCACAAGCTTAAACTCTCATTTCTTCAGTCGGAGCTCAAGGAAGAAATTGATGTCTTAAAACTAGAAAATAGAAATTTACACGAGAGGTTGCGGCATGAAATCCGCCTGAAGGAGGACTTGGAGAGGGTAAGTGTGGATCCAGCCCGCCTCCACAGTGGCACACTTGTGTGGAGGCCCCCATGAGTCCCGCGGCTCTGTCCCTCCTGCTGCCTGCAGCCGTGTTTGCTCAGCGCCTCCTCACTGTCAGGATGGGGTTCCACCCGGAGCCAGGCCAGGGTTTGACTCCTCGTTCCTCCTTCCCCCTGCTTCTGGGGTTAAGGGACTGTCTGGGCATCCTGAGACCCGGGGCGGGGGTGGGGTGCAGGCTGGTTGGCATGGCCATCTGCGGGCTCTGTGCACCCTGGTGTCTCCAGTGCTGTTGAGCCCCTGCGCTCTTCCTGCTGTCGGTCATGCAGCCAGAGAGTGTGCCGTGCGAGTGAGGAGACCCCCGTGCATTGCTCACGCTGGCAGACGGTCCAGCGCGCGGCCTCAGCCAGATTCCTAGTAGGCTTGGCTGTGTGTGCTGCTCAGGGTGTGGCTCATCCCTGCATTGGAATAATAGAATCCGTGCGATCAGAGCTTTTTTAAGCCTTTTCCACAGGTGTGCTGACAGCCATATTCCCTCCACTTCACGCTTGTGGCCTGATGCTCTCCCCTGTGTTCTTTCCCGCAGAGGTCTTTTTGGATTTTCATTCTCCATCAAAACTGAATTTCATACGATGTTATTACCTGCACATTTGATCATATGTTCTTCTCTAAAGCAATGGTGAAGACTTGCCTCAAAACAGAACTAAAAGATAGAGTTTTATGGAAAGTTGTGTGGGCTTCCCTCAATGGCTTCCGATGTTTAGGTGTTTGTATGTTTCCTGGACCACCATTTTATCTACTTACATCCATTACTGAGAAAGGGGTGTAGAATTATCTAGTTTCCCCTTTAATTTTGCCAGTCTTTAAGTATTTAAAGGCCTGTTGCTACACACATTCACATTTGTGATTTTTCTGTCTTCCTGAAAAAGTTACCTTTTTATCCTTAATGAAGTGTCTGTTTTCTCTGTTCTCTGTATTATTCTTTGTAGCATTGTTTGTATTGCAGTCTACTTTCTCTTTCATCAGTATAGTCATTCCAGCCTTCATTTGAATTTTGTTTGTGTGGCGTACCTTTTCCTGTCCCTTTTACTATTCATCTATTGAGAGTAACTACCTGGACTTGGTGTTGGACCTCCGTAGGTTAAGGGCTCAGTCCCATGAGACTAACCCCACCTCAAAGCCATTTGCAATTATTGGGTTCCCAGGTTACCTACTCACTTCTGCCTGACTTGGCTTCAAAGTCTGAATACTCCCAAACACACCCACCTTCCCCTTTCAGGCTCCTGGAAGTCAGGGAGACAGTTTACTGTTAGCAGTTTACTATGAAGGATGCCAGTTGAAGCAACCAAATGGAAGAGAGGCATAGGCTAAGGTGGGGGTGATATGCAGCTGCCGGGCCCTCTCCAGTCGTGTCACTGTTCAGTGCCTCCACACACTCACCCACTGACCCTTTAGGGGGTTTTATGGAAGCTGCATTACATAATGTGGTTGATTAAATCATTGGCCGTCGGTGATTGAACTCTCACCTCCAACCCTCTTCGCTCTATGGAGGTTTAGGGGTGTGGGGCTGAAAGTTCCAGCCCTCTCTAATCATGCTTGATTTTTCCAGGGACCGGCTCCCATGCTGAAGCCACCCAGAGATCCCCAGACACCTGCTATCTCATTAGCATGCAAGAGACTCTCTTTTTCCAGGGATTCCAAGGGTTTTCACAGTTGTGTGTCAGGAACTGGGCACAAAGACCACATATTTATTTTTTAATATATTACACATACGCACAGCATATAGTTAAACATATTTATTTTTATTTTATAATGTTTATATATTTCTGAGAGTAAGACAGGGCACGAGCTGGGAAGGGGCAGAGAGAGAGAGAGGGAGACACAGAATCTGAAGCAGGCTCCAGGCTCTGAGCCGTCTAATTAGATTATTTTTTTAAGTTTATTTCTTTTTATTTTCTTTCTCTTTTTTTAAAATTGAATTTAATTTTTTTTAACGTTTATTCATATTTGAGAGACAGAGAGAGACAGAGCATGAGCGGGGAAGGGGCAGAGAGAGGGAGACACAGAATCCGAAGCAGGCTCCAGGCTCTGAGCTGTTAGCACAGAGCCCGATGTGGGGCTCAAACCCACAAACTGTGAGATCATGACCTGAGCCGAAGTTGGACACTCAACCGACTGAGCCACCCAGGCACCCCTATTTATTTCTTTTTAGAGTGAGAGAGAATGAGCAGGGGAGGGGCAGAGAGAGAGAGAGAGAGAGAGAGATGAGAATGAGAATCCCAAGCAGGCTCCACATATCAGCGCAGGGCCCAATGTGGGGCTCACACCCAGAAACAGTGAGATCATGACCTGAGCCAATGTGAAGGGTCAGACACTTAACCTACTGAGCCACCTCGGCGCCCCTATAGTTGGATATTTTTAAAACTCCATTCTGACAAACTCTTTAACTTTTATTGGAGTGTTTAGTTTGTTAACATTTTGGCTCATTATCGATCTGGTTTGACTTATGTCTACCATTTTGCTATTAGTTTTCTACAAGGTCCATCTGTTTTTCTTTATGTTTTCTTTTTTTGTTCCCTTTGTTCCTTCTTTCTTGCCTTTTGGGTTATTTGAATATTTTTAGGATTGATTTGGGGGGG